TCCCGCTTTCTATATATAGATATAGATAGAATACTTTATTTCAAAAGCAATAAGCTTGGTTTTGAAACATGTAGATCATTTTTTCTTCTAGTGACTCAGTGTTATGTGTTATGTGAGGATACTAATCAGTAATAATACTATGGTTCCTCACAAAATAATCACTATATAGTATATATACCTGAAAAAAATTATTTAGACACTTAAACAGCTAAATCTACCCTAGACCTAAATTAATAATTAAAATCTGCCTCAGCAGTCAAGAATGTCTTGTCTGGAAACCATCTCGTTACACAAGTGCTGCAACCATAGCAAACAACGTGTGAGACTCAATACTGACAATGACGAAGTTTGACAATAATAGTTAATACTGAAATCAAGTTATTTTGAGAATCAACATGCTACCCTCGTACTAGCTGTCTTGTAGACTTATGCATAAATGAGCCGCGGTTATATGCAAGGTACTTCGGGCAATTGACGAACGCATTGCCTAACTAGAGAGTCTCAATATCACTGAATTTATGCCAATTCACCCAACGCGAATTTCATTGTCGGCATTATTAGGCCGTGGATGCTGCGACACCTTTTTTTGTTTTCACTTTAAGATTGCTTTCATTCTGATGTGTGTTTTCTACTATTTTTGATTACGGAATAATTGTGGATGTTCAATTCGTGTTTGTGAACTTTATCTTTACAAAATTTAGAAAATAAACGTGTTTACAGCACTGTGAGCCGCCTCTTGCCCAAATATTTGAGAGCACTTTATAATATCAAATTGCCGCGACACCTTCATTGCCTTCAGCATGTGATGTGCTTTTCCGTTAGTTACATTGCTAAAACGGAAATAATTCTTATTGAGTTTGTTTTTTGGCAATATATATATACTATATATATATATTCGGGACTTTGAAAGCTGTCATTGGATTTGCTACCATTGAAACCTCAAACGATGGCCTAAGCCACAAAACACGGTCGGTTATTTTTCGTGTCATTTTGACAAATTTTTCGAAAGTGTGCTGTCCATTGATACATGTGTTGGGGCCTGTACTTTACCCTTGCCGCCATCACGTTGTCTGCTATGGTTGCAGCAATCGTCTATCGAGATGGTTTCCAGACAAGACATTCTTGACTGCTGAGGCAGATCTTAGTTATTAATTTAGGTTTAGGCCTTTATGGTAGATTTAGCTACTCGCGCAAGTAATGCACTGAATGCATTTTGGTGTTCAAGTGCCTAAATGATTTGTTCAGGTTTACTATATAGATATAGTGATTATTTTGTGAGGAACCATAGTATGATTACTGATTAGTATCCTCACATAACACATAACACTGAGTCACTAGAAGAAAAAATGATCTACATGTTTCAAAACCAAGCTTATTGCTTTTGAAATAAAGTATTCTATCTATATCTATATATAGAAAGCGGGAAGAGATAGGGACACCCGCAATTATTACCGAGCAACTCAGATTCTTTATCAGCACTACGCCAAATAGTGCAACAGCACTCTAGAAATTTATTTAAAGATATATACAACATTATTGTTATAAAGAGATAATGTTAACTATTATTAAACCTTTCCAAAAAACCTTTGCATTCTCGTACACAGAGTCCTTGTTTTGAATCCGTTTTTTTCTATTTCGAGTCCGGGTTTTCAAAAGTCGAGTCCGGGTTTTCTTAAACACGAGTCCGGGTTTTTTTCGAGTCCGGGTCCGGGTTTTTCTCGAGTCCGGATTTTCTTGGAGTCCGAGTCCGGGTCCGAGTCCGAGTCAGGTCCGGGTTTCGAAGTATGCCCCGTCATAGCACAACTAAGTAACACCTTGAAGTGGCTGCACGACAACAAGATTTTGCACAATGATATAAAATTGGACAACGTCACCAAGGATAATGTGCAGTTCCATGCCATACTTATAGACTTTGGTAAGGCATGTTCATTTGCAAATGCTAAACGAAAGGAATTATCCGAGGAGTTAAAGGCTGAATATCGGGAAAAGCATGCGCATATTGCATCTGAAATAATAGAAGGTAAGTCAAAACAGTCACCAGCAAGCGATGCCGATGTTTATGCTTTAGAGAGAGTTGTTTTAAATTAAAGGTTGGGGAGTTTTGTAAGTGCGAACAGATTATCGTGCTAAGCAAATCATGTCTCAACGATATAGTGAAATACTGAAAAAAAAACAGTTACTGAGCCACCATCACAGAACGCACAACTTTATCTGATATATAGGCACATGGTAAACACTTGATACATGTAGAACAGAATAATTCATAGATCTTTGACTTTGTTACAATATGTCATTCTGGGTACATATGCTGCTACGTTGAGGCCATCAGAAGGCGAAAAAGCGCAATATTTACACGTGTTATTACTTCCCGCAATAAATGTCATACAATAAATCAGAAGTTGTTATCACTCAGAAGATCCAAAACACTTTCAATCTGTACCTTTAATCAATAACAATATTAATAACAGGTTTCGTCAGAGCTCCTACAGAGATCAGCAATATCATGTAGCGAAAAATCTTAGTAAATTTATGCACTTCACCTGGATTGGTGACAGTTATGAGCAAATGCGTTTCCGGAGATTCGTGTTTTTAAAACACAAAGTTTGCATAATTAAGGCAGTGCGATTCGTCATGAAATTTATAGATATAAATTTCTACAGCACTTTCAAAAAGCAAATTAAACAACATTTTTTACTATACAATGTATAAGACATGCTATAAAACATTCTGCTATATGACAAAATTAATAGTATATTGTAGTCTTATAAGAACCCAAATGCATCTACAACATTGGTATTCACTTCTATAATAAGAACAATTTCTCTTCTTCTTCTTCTTTTTCTCTCTTGTAAATATTCACTTCTATAATAAGAACAATTTCTCTTCTTTCTTTAATATTGTGATTGACTGTAAATAATTTATTACATAATATAATACAAACTAGCATAACTAGAGACCTAAATAAAAAGTCTACTAAGATTTCTAATAGGTCTCTAGCCCGCACTCTACACTTATTGTAAATATACTACACATAAATTTATTGTACATGGGGAAAATTTTTAAAATAAAATAAAATAATTAAAAAATAAATAAATTTTACATTAAATCAAAGCCAATTTATCTATTTAGAACTCAAAACAAAGATATGGCGAACTCGTAACTTTTATTGAAAAAGAGATTAATAATTACGGGTGCCAGGAAATGTGCAGGGAATCTGTAAAAGTTCAAGCTAATGGCAATGATATTCCTGTAGAAACAGAACCAAAAAGTAGAAGAGATATTTTTGCATCTCCATTGTAAACATCAGGGAAAAGAAAGATGTCAGATGATGACAACAAAGTTACTGGAACAAAGAAATTTGTGGAAAAATATATCCGCAGCATATTTAAAAGGACAAGCAAAGAGGACGTGATGTCGTTCACTTTTGATAAAGCCAATGGGGAGATGAAAGACCGTTGTCCTTTGTTTTGGACTATCTTAAGAGCAGCATCTACACCACATAATTCTAAACCCAGATCAGAAGATAGTGATATCTATTGGCAGACTTCAGTAGTGACTGCTGCATCGATATGTCTGAAAAACAGATCACAGAGAATGACAGTTGTTCAGCTATTGATTTCATTGATAATAAATCACTCATCGTACATAGTAAGTTAGTCTCTTAGTTTATATTATTCAATTAGATAGATTTGCTGTTCCAGTTAAAAAATATGAAAATCTATTTTCAGCAAACAATTCAAAAAAGGATATACAAAGGATCAAATTCCATATATATAGTAAATAGGAGTGTGCTAATTTGTATTTGAATCCTGGTATCCCATTTTGATAGTAAGAAAATATATAAATTTTAGACCCTGCTAGACTGTAGCCTGTGTTCCAGTCCACTACACCGTTGTGTAACGGTGTAGTGAACTGGAACACAGGCTAGCTACACTGCTGAGAGCGCAGATGGTGCTCAATAGATGCTCGCTTTGTATAAAATTTAATTAATAAGTATTAGTATAATTATATAGGTGATTATTGAAAATTCTCCACGCTGATTGGTTGCCGTTGAGGTGATTATGACGCGATAATCACCTAAGCGATTTTCGAAATGGCGGCCGAAGCCGTTTTGTCGATTAAATGACGAAGATTTGTGTATTATCTATTTTTTCCAAATTGAATCACATATGTAATTATACTAAAACAATTATTCACCTCAGGCTCGGTGATTATCGTGAATAAAAAGCTCGACTTCTTCTCGGTTTTTATTCACAGATAATCACCTCGCCTTCGGTGAATAATTGTGAATTAACATATTGCTTTAAGAATCCAGTCCAGCTGTTCAGAGATGCGTTCAAAGACGTCAGATGACAGAGATATCAATGACAACAGAGAAGAAGTTGATTCCAAAGGACCTAAGGTCTGAATTATGTGGTTATTTTATTTTTTAGACATTTTAATAATACTATTGTACATGTACCGTAGCTATAGTGTTACAGTCAAGTATGTGTGTATACAACACTACAGTGTACAACACATCTAAAAACTAATAGAAATAACTTTTGTTTTATTTGATATGGAATAACAAAAATCAGCTACCGTTGTCAATGGAGGCTTTATTATTTAGCATTATTAATTTTGGATATTCCCATTGATTCATAACCTGCATTTTTTACGTTTTCTAATTTTCTGGGCGATAGGTCATGGCTGATGGGGGCCCGTAACTGTCGAGGGCCCTTTCGAGTTTTTTCAACTAACCGTATCCAATGAGCGTTACGCCACTGGTTATGGGCAAGAAGCCATTTGGAATAAATTTGTTAAAGTGTGACTAACCACAAATATCATTTTTGGTATGTCTAATATTCGAGTCATTCGAAGAAGAAATGTAATATATCTTCAGAATAAAAAGTTCCATCTTGATCAACTTTTTCAGTGTCAAAGTTTTCGAATATGATGTCATTAGGTGAATTTTTGGTACAAAACTAATTTTCAGTTCACCTAATAACATTATATCCAGGGGCGGCGATACAGGGTGTGTGTGTGGGGGGGGGGGTGGAACACCCCCCACTCGTCAGCTAATCGGCAAATTGTTATCTCAGTCGGCAAAACTGGATTGGCTAAAGATAACCACTGAAGAAACCAAAATTGACCTCCTGAATAATTGAATTCAAACCGAATATCACGAATAGCATGCATCAAAGAAACCATACATGCAGCAATGCAAATTTTTTCGAATACAGTGTCTTCACTTCTGGCAGCTAGTCCAAAAACATAATATTATTGAAATCATAATTAGGTAATTAAATTTGTTTGTTTGTTTGTTTGTTTGTTGTTGTTGTTGTTGTTGTTGTTGTTGTTGTTGTTGTTGTTGTTGTTGTTGTTGTTGTTGTTGTTGTTGTTGTTGTTGTTGTTGTTGTTGTTGCTTATTATACTGTTCTATAAAAGAGGCAATAAAGTCGGTTTTCTACTAGCGAATTTTCTCGCACGAAGCGACCTTTTTCCTTTGTCGGTATCACTTATTACGTCAGCAAGACGTGGCAAAATCAGTCCTCGAAAACGAGGTCGGCATTCGGCAATGCCGGGTTAAATGCAAATTTTTGCCCACCTTAATTCAACCAAAGTAAGAATTTTTTATGCTGATAGCTTTTAAAATGTCAGCGATTATAGAATTCGATTCGTAGTTCGATTAACTGAACACAATACGGTGTAAGGTTTAAAAACTGACGGGTATTGTGTATATGCGTTAGATGTTTGAAGATCAAATTTCGCGCGTCTGGAGTTAAAATTTGGCTCCAACTTTCGAATTTTCCGGCTGGAGGTAACGTTCCAGTTATATTCCGATTTCAATGATTCGTAAATGCGTGATTAATAGTGCTCCAAGACGTGGAACAGATTTTAAGAAATGCCGAGATGTACCGACCTAGGTCAGATTTAGGTCGGCCCTCTTTTGCCGACCTCAATTTTGACGGTTTTGACTTTTCGAGGGCTGCAAAATGGATGCCGACAAAGGAAAAAGGTCGCTTCGCGCAGAAAAATTCGCTAGTGGAAAAACGACTTAATAGAGGGTAATAAAGCGCATTTAAACATGCACATTTACGATAGATGGCCCTGAAGGGGTAAAATGGGAACTGGGATTGACCTATTTTTAGACTGGGAAAATGGGATTTGGGTTGCTGGGACTGGGATTTGGCCACTGGGAATGGGAAATGAAGTCCTCAAAAATGGGAATGGGATTGAAGTAATGTGAGTCGATTCCCAATTTTGATCCGTTTTTTGTGTCTTTAGTCATGATTTTTGTTGTTAACTATATTATTCACAGCATTATCTGCGAACAGGCATACTCTGGCGCCCGGAATTTTGGGTTTTCTGGTTATGCGTGTCTCAGAATGATGCAAATGCCATTTCCGGGATTCAAATTTAAAAATTTTCCGTGCCTTCGGCACAAGCAACCCCTCCCCCAATATTTCATAAAGTGTCCGCCACTTGCACATACGGTGGCTTAAAAGGTCTTAAAACTGGTTTTTTCTACCGATAAATAAAGGGTTTTTTATTGACTGGGATTTCAATAACTCGGACTGGGATTTCTAATAAAAATCCAACTGGAACTGGGATTTTGCCAAAATTTCAGGTGGAAAATGTGATTGGGACCCCCCCCCCCACTTCCGGACCCTCACTATAGGCTAATGACTCGGCAAAATTACCAAACAACAGTCGGCAAAAGATCACTCACACCCCCCCACTCGAAGAGGGTT